TCTGATCCTTCTTTTCTATTTCCCTATCCTCCTTTTTAGAATAGGTAATCTCCTCTGTGCCATTATTCTACAGGGGCTCACAGCTAAGAGTTGATTTCATTCTTCGGAGGAAATTTGGACTTGAACTTTTAAGCAGTGCTGGAACTATTGAGACTGGGGGTTTTGGAGATGGACTAAATCTAATTTACAATATGAGTTATGAGCCTTTAGCGGTGCAATGTTATGAATGAAAGAGATGTGTTTGTGTACTGTGGCTCAACCAATAAACTTGTAAAGAAGGGTTAACTATGATCATAATATGACTGGACAGAGAAGCACCTAGAATGCTGAAATGTACCTTTGGATGTATCTGTGAAGGTGTTTCCAGAGAGGATAATCTAAGAAAGACTTCCTCTGAAAGTAGGCAACACTATTCCATGGATGGGGAACTGGATTAAATAAAAAGGGGGGAGGGAGAAATAGCCAATTCAGCAGGCACACTCTCTGCTTCCTGGGCAACATAACGAAAACCCCTGTGCTCCACTAAGCCCTCCACACTATGGCAGGCTGAAATCATGGAGATAAAACCAATCCTTCTCCCTTAAGTCGTTTCTCTCTGGTATTTGGTCAAAGCAATGAGAATCTCACCAACACAGATACCCAAATGTAAGACTAATGTTCCTACATCATATTTGATCCTTTCATACTTTGTCTGGAAGGTCGACTCTCAGGCTGTGCTTAGCAACATCAACAGAGCAGCAGCAAGGAACCCACAACCCAAAAAACTTTGCAATGGCTGACCAATAAGTCTTCAGAAAGCTGGCAGACATGGAAAAAGGAGAATTAAGAAGCAGGTGGCGGGCTAGTGTCGTCTACAGATATTTTGGATACACGTCATTTGTCACAAAAACACTATAGAGGAAGTAGAACTACTGTAAACATGAGAACCACAATTAACTGACAGGCTATTTATGCCACCTTCCCCTGCCTCAAAAATTTGTTATTTCGGCTGTGCAAACATGCAGGACCCTGTAACTTCCGAGACAACTGGAAGCTCCCTAGTGCAATGGAACAGGGTAGACTGGTGCCATGCTTCACACAGATATCTACAGCTGGCATGTTCAAACTCCCTAGAAAGTCAGGTCTGGGAATACTGTGCCTAGTAGCACCCTGGCCTCTTGTCAGGGATGAATGCACTATCCTTAGTACTTGTCTTTTACTACAAATGCTAAACATTCACAATATATCTCTTACTGTCTTTAGGTCCTTTGTACCGAAACATATACTTACTACTACAAGATCTATTGGTGTAAATTCCTAACGAAATAACTACTCCCTGGGGACAATGGGATGGCATACCATGATATAAATAGGGAGAAGTGGGTGTCACATTCAGTGATTTAAGAAACACACACATCACAACTGATACAGAAAGGAGGCATAGACATGCTACTAGGTAATTACACTTCTACAGTTCAAAAACCAAAATGCACAAATAAGTACATAACGACATCTCCCTTCCGCTCAAAAGTCACAGCTACCAGCCGGGCGGTGGTGGCGCACGCCTTTAATCCCAGCACTCGGGAGACAGAGGCAAGCGGATCTCTGTGAGTTCGAGACCAGCCTGGTCTACAAGAGCTAGTGCCAGGACAGGAACCAAAAGCTACGGAGAAACCCTGTCTCGAAAAATAAAAAAAAAAAAAAAAAGTCATAGCTACCAAGGTTCTGTCCCCTAAGGAAACCAATGAATAGTCCATTACATATACTTCCATAGATATTTATACCTATACTAGTTTATTTGTTTAATACTAAATCTATTCCTCTCAAAATAAATATCAGTTCAATAGAAAAAGGTGGGAAACTCCTGGGTATTTACTCAAAGGACTCCAAGACAAGAGATCCCTGCACATCCATGCTTACTGCAGCAGGACTCACAACAGCTAAACTATGGAACCAACTTAGGTGTCTGTCGTCAGAAAAAGTGGATAAAGAAAATGTGCTACATATACACAATGGAATTTTACTCATCCATGAATAATGAAATTATGTGGTGTGCAGTAGCAGATTATCACGATAAGTAAATTAAGTCAGACTCAAGAAGACAAATATTGCATATTTTCTCTCATTTGTGAATCCCAGACTTTATAGATATAACAAAAACTCATGACATGAAAATAGAAGCTTGAATGTCTAAAACAGTGGTTCTCAAGATGTAGGCTGTGATCCCTTTGGCAAACCTCTGTCTCCAAAACTATTTACATTAGAATTCATAAAAATTACAGTTATGAAGTAGCATTTTGGGGTGGGGGTCACCACAATGTGAGGAACTGTATTAAAGGGTCACAGCATTAGGAAAGCTGGGGGAAGAAAGGGAAAGAGCAGGAGGAGAAAAAAGTAGAGGACAGCAGGGGATGAGGAAAACACTGTCAAAATACATTAATTACTTGTGTCAAATGTTCTTAAGAAAACCAGTAATATGTACAATGAATATATGCCAATAAAATAGATTACAGGAAAGAGACTTTTCAAACTTGAAGGGTTTTGGATTTCAAAATTGAACATTTTAATTCATAAAAATTTCTGAAGTTAAATTGTAGCTTCCAGAAATTAATATGCATACCCAGGGCAGAGCAGATCCTCAACAAGTATATCCCTAAGCCTTCCTGACCTTTATTACTCAGAGACAAGAGGACAACTACTCACTTCCTCTATGGATACTGAGAAATAAATCAGATTTCTTTGTCTGTGGGCAGATGCATGTGTGAGCACAGGTGTGTTCATGTGTGTACACTAAGGCACATCTGCAGAGTCAGAGACTCCTGCCTTATTACTCTAATAATCTTAAGTACATAGTGGAAAATTTAGTAATCAATTAAAATTAGAATTCAGATTTTGATCGAGAATTGAAACAGAAGATCAAATGTCCTGGAAAGAAATGTTTTCTCACAATTACAAACAACCCAAATCAACATATTAATATTTGACATAACCCAGGAATTCACACTTTGACAAAATAAATTTCTCATACATTTAAAAGCCATAGAAGAAAATGCCACAGGTATATCATGAGATTTAGAACATGACTATCCACAAAATGAAAGAGCACACTGGCATGTGGCCCCAATTACTGAAAAAGTGAGGTGACTTTCTGAAGTATATATGAGTGCAAGAAAAGCCTACTGTTGTTTTTAAGCCTTATGATAAAGATGGCTGGAGCTGGGTGTGGTAGCTCACACGCGCAATCCCAGTACTCAGAAGGCTGAGGCAGGAGGACTGCCCTAAATTCAAGGCCAACCAAGGCTACACAGTAAATTTCAGGACAGTCTAGGCTACTCTGCAAGACCCTGTCTCGAACAAAATCCAAAGATAAAAATTACTGAATTCTATGAACATAGAATAATCCTCAGAACACATATTTTTATCCCCATTTATTTTGTCTTTGAGCATGCATTTATGAGTCTGTCAAATGTACTACCTATTTCTCACTGTTCTTTAAGGAGTTGGTTCTGAGACCTATAAGATAAATATATGCTCATAGCTTTGTATAAACATACAAAGGCAGTCCTTCATTTCCAACATGGCTCTGAGGCAATCGTCTAAGATGGCGGCATATTTCAATTCCTCACTCACTATCTGCCCAGGAAACATCTCGGTTTACATGCTTTCCTCATGTCATTGATTTGTTACCAACTAAAACAAACTACAGAGGCTCCTTGATCAAGTATGGAGGCCAAAGTCTGGCCTGAGACTTGTGATTTCCCATAACCACCTAGATTTTTGATTTTACGGTTTCAAAATCTGTTTAGGTCACTACTTCCAAACTGAAAGACTCCCAACTAGTCCCTTATACAATTTGTTTGAAAGGGTTTGGTAGCCATAAGCCCTGGTTAGTAATAACTAACCAAGAACCATGAGACCCAAAAGGTCCAGGACCAAGGGTAATTCACACATTTAAAGTTAAGAAATTAAAGATTAATTTCTATTCGTCAGGGATTCATGGGTAAAAACTGGAGTATACTGTGATGAAGAATAATGCTCTGGCTTGGGAGACAGTTCTGAAGGGGGGCTCTTTTATTTCATTGGAGAATGCTGGTTTGGGGCTTCCACACCCCTGAATTAAGTTTGGAGTGACTGGGGTGGGAGCGAACGACAGGAGGCACAGAGAGAAAAAAGGATGACTCAGATTGTGACTGTTATTATCCCCGTCATAACCCTGTCCACGCAACATGCTGTGTACTATTCAATCCAGAAAGGAAAGTGATATCAGCCCATCCTTAACAAAAGAATCAAAACCATCACTTTTCCCTCCATACACTCAAAAATGTTTCTTCAAAGTTGCTCCTTGTTACCAATTTAGGGGTAGAAGAGCTACCCTTGGCTTGCAGAAAGCAAGGAAATAGGTATAACTTCCCAAGGGACATTAAGGATTCCTGTCTCAATAGTTAGGCCTGACATAGTGGTGTCACTACATTGAGTCCTAGACCACACTCACCTTTCATTCCTCCTCGGACATTATTGACAAGAGATAAAGAGAACACAGCCCTCAGAAGTGAGCCCCTACCTGGAATGACCATCATGGGCAGCCCAAAGTCAAGACTCACATTCAGACCTCTTTCTCACCCCTCTGGGGCCTGTCCCCTGGCGCGGCACAGCTCCCTGAGAAATCACCCACCTCCTGCCCCTGTGTCCTCTACAGATCTAAACTGGGGTAGGAAAGGGGATCAAGGCTGATGGAGAGGGGCACAACAGAAACATAATCAAGCAGAGGGGCTAAGAGATCTCCTCTGTGTCTTTCATCTTGGTTCCTGGTAAAGAAACGTTGAAATGGGACAAAAATGCTTTTAAGCATAGCACAAAGTCATAAAAATGCAGACAGTTGACCTTGGAAAGCCACAGCGTCTCAGCTGGAAACGCAAAAGAAGAAACTCCTTGGGAAGTGAAGCCAGAGAACTGTGCGGCAACCCGGAGGAGCACAGCCGGCCGCCCAAGGGATGTTGGCCGGGCAGTGGCAGGGAACTCACCATAGATCATGGCCAGCCCGGTCTCGTGCAGGAAGCGCACCCGGCGGTGCTTGAAGAGCCAGATGGTGAGGATGGTGAGGGTGAGCAGCAGGATGAAGGTGAGCAGGCTCACGCTGTCCTGCCGGTGGCTTTCCTCCGCCTCCTTCTCGGTGGCGAGCTCCTCCATGGCGCTGCTGTCCTCAGCCGCCGCCCCAGAGGAGGAGGCCGCGGCCCCGAGCCACAGCCCCCGACCCAGCAGCACTGGCAACAGTGGCAGCAGCAGCAGCCGAGGCGCCAACTTCCAAACAGCCCTCCCTGGACCGGGGTGCGCCGCGTCACTAGGCTCCATGACTCCAGGGCTGCCCGCGCCTCTTTCACGCGGGGACCAGCAACAGCCCGCGCAGTCGTCGGCAGCTTCCCGCGGTGCCGACCTAGCCCGTGGCTCCAGCCGCAGCTCCTCCTCCTGCCGCTAGCGCCCGGCCAGGGCTGCGCCAAGCTGCGGGGGAGGGGCGCTCGCAGTGCGCAGGATCCCCAAGCGCCGCCCCCCGCCCGCGCACCTGTTCGTCGTCATTGTCGTCGTGCCCCCCCCCCCCCCCGCCCTGGCCTAGAGCACGGCCACCCGGCTGTCCGGGTGGGGCGGGCTCTGTCCTCCTTCTCCGCCAGGCGGGCAGCCAGCCCTTTGGTGGCGCCGCGCTGACCGTCCTGTCCAGGAGTCCCTGGTCAGACCGTCTGGGGTCTGCTAACCAGTTTCTGGGTAGTAGCCCTCACGCTACCTAAAAGGGACTGCAGAGGTCACTTGCTCCTGGCAAGAAACAGCAGCTGGGACTGACTCGCTGCGAGATCTCCAGTCCTGTTCCTAGCGCCACCGCTAGGAGTTTGGTGTCACGCGGGTGTGTGGCCTCTGTGAGCCCAGCAAAGTGGGGCCTCCCAGGAGTTACAAAACCATATTACTGTTCTCACACACACACACACACACACACACACACACACACACACAGAGAGAGAGAGAGAGAGAGAGAGAGAGAGAGAGAGAGAGAGAGAGAGACCCCTTTTGTCACCTTTTGGAGTATAGGGACTCCCCCAGAGTCTTCCAGGCATTATTCAAATAAGGATAGGTAATGGCAATCGGTGAGAGCGATGAAATAAGTAACTCCATCATTAGACTTCAACTAATTCCTTGCGGAAAAGAGGGTTGAATTGGAGGGAACTAAGAACTCTTGCCATTCTGAGAAGAAGAGTGGCCAATGGTCAGCCCTAAGGAGGGTGGGAGGGGCAATTTATCATGATGATACTTTTAATGTTATCTTCCTGTTAACTCAGAAAACAGGTGAGTCTTTACTTGAACATTAGGGTCAAGCCCAACTCAGAATTATGACAAGGTCTTCAGAGATAAAAACCTCTTGGAAGAAATCCTAATAACTAGAGTTTTCAACCCACCTTGTTTCTCTAGTCAAGAAAGAAAAGAAAGCTGAACACGTCAGTCACTGCCTGTTGTCAAGCACTCTATTCACATTTACTGAATCTCTCTCCCCACCAACTGCCCATGCTCTCTCCTCCAAACTCCAGGAGTTTGCAGCAAGAGGATTTGCTGAAGAAGATAGGAAATCTGTTCAGAACACCACCATCCTCCTCTAGGTGAGCATTTAGCCAAGACTACTTAGTGCCTCTTCACATCATGGAATCTCTTCATCTTGATTTTAGCCAGGATCTTTTCCTACTCCACCATAAATACAAAAGAAACTGCAAATAAGAACCATCTAGCTGAGCCTAGGCAATGCCTGAAACCGAGATAATGAAATGATTGTTGCTATGTTCATAGACCTTACGTTACTATTTGATGACAGCTTCTTCCACAGCAATAGACAACCAAAAGATTAATCATTACATAAAGTGATTGCCTCAAGAAGAACATGAAAAAACTCACCTGATATTCACACATATACACCAAAGACTCCATTAGCTATACATATTTATATATGCAATCTATCTTATTCAACCCAGAGATTTGGATTCCAATTAACACAGATTAATACACTCAACTGTGTGATTCTCTCTGGGTGTGGTGGCACACCTCTATAAATCCCAGCTACTCGAGAGGCTGAGGTGAGAAGAATTGAATCAGGAATTCAAGGCTAGCCTGGGCAACAAAGCAAGATCCAATGCAGCCCAGAACACCTGAGGAGAATGCATAGTGAAGCCATTTAAACATTCTGAAATGAAGACAACAGGGAACTTCATGAAGAACACCGGAGTTGAACCCAACTCAATACCAGACTCAAGCAAACCTAGAAGGGTGAATAGACATGGACAAAAAGAGCTCCAGAAAAAGGGGAAATAGGTCTCCTAATGTTCAAAGAACATAGAAGAAATACCATTTAAGTTTTTTCTTTGTTCTTTCCTGTACTGTGGCAGCTGCATTGGTTAAAAAAAGAATGCCGTACCCTCATGCGCTCAGACTGACAGGAGTGGGGACTGTCTTTCTCTCTGCCTAGAGCGGCTGTGATCCCAAGACACTGGGGGCTGTTCCCCAATGGTTCGTATTCATTTCTCTCTGTCTGTCTCTCTGTATGTCTCTCTGTCTCTCTATGTGTATCTGTGTCTGTGTGTGGGTGTGTCTTCCTCCTCCCCACTCTCCCCCTTCCCTCCCTCTTCATCTGTCCATTCTTCTACTGCTTACTGTCAGACAAAGTTACAAGAAGTTACTAGTAGAGAAAAGTAAATATGTAGATTTCTCTCTAAGAACCCAATAAAGGCACTCCAAGGAATTCCAGATTGCCAGGGAGACCATGGAGAAGAATCTCAAAAGAAAAAAGTTGTTTATGAATTCCTAAATTCACTCCAACCTGAATGAACATGGAACAGCATACAAAAGACTATGATAATTAAGAAACCTCCAGATTGTAGACAAGCTGCTGGTTAAAATATGTGTGTGATCACAAATTTAGGAGACTGAGGCAGGAGGATACTGGGATTAAGACTTGCCTAGGTTAATAGCAATTTCCTGGTCAGGTTGGGTTACACAATGAGACCCTGACTCAAAAAAACCAACCAAACAAACAAAAATACAAGATAGATATGAGAGTCCTGCATAATTCTCAAAACTTGATTAGCTTTGGCACTATAATCCACACACTGCAGGTCAGAATTTGTGTTCTAAACCAAACCATGTTGATTACAAGTTAAAACTAAATATTTCTACATAACAAAATTTTAAGTGTCAAAAAAGTGGTTTTATTTTTTGAGACAAGGTTTCTCTGTGTAGCCTTGGCTGTCCTGGAACCTACTCTAGACCAGGCTGGTCTCGAACTCACAAGGATTCAGCCTGCCTCTGCCTTGTAAGTGTTGGAACTAAAGGCCTGTGCCACTACCGCCTGATGACAAATGATCTTTAAATGAATGTAAACATTAGAAGTTTTAACAAAAACCAGGCAGTGGTGGCGCACACCTTTAATCCCAGCACTGAGAAGGCAGAAGCAGACAGATCTCTGTGACTTCATGGCCAGCTTGGTCTACATATGAGTCCAAGGACAGCCAAGGATACACACAGAAACCTTGTCTTGAAAAACCAAAAAGAAAAGTTTCAGCAAAGAAGTAAGAAGTAGTAGAAAATTGAAATTGTAAGACAGAAAAATACAGTAACAGAAACTTGCAGGGTACAATAGAAGAGTAGATTTGAAAGAGACAATAAATTTAAGGATAAATCAATAGAAATTAGCTAAGTTGAACAATAGAGAGGGAAAAGGTGAGAAAAAACATACAGAGCTACAATAATCTGTAGGATGATATAATAAAACCTAACATTTTGTTTCTAGAGATGCTGAAGGAGCGAGTAAGTAATGTTGAGAAAAAATATGTGAATACGTAATAACTAAAATTATTCCAAACTGAGCAAGAGACATGAACCTGACAGCTTAAGGGCCTCTTCAAAAAAAAAGATAAATCCAAAAGTTGTCCAGATATATTCAATGTATAGAAAGGATAAAATTAATGCTATGTATAGAGTAATAACAATTTAAATGCCTATGGGTTTCTCTTTAGAAATTAATCAGGTCTTAAGAAGTGTAAAACATTTTAATGTGATCAAAGGACTATCTTTACAAAGAAATGTGTCCAGCATAACTTTCAAGGTGAAGAAATGATACCAAGATGATATAATCTCTTCTAGAAAGCAAAAGGTAAACACTTCTCATTTTAAGAGGTCAGCATTACCCTGATACCAAAATCGGAGAGCTGAAAAAAATAAAGGTGTAGGGCACAATATCTCTCATGAACACAAAAAATCTCAACAAAATCTTAACAAATTTTATCTAGTAATAAATAAAAAGAAGCATATACTGTGACCAAGTGGGTGTTCTTCCTTTTAGTGGTTTCGGGACTGACTCACCATGAGGAAAGCAAGCAATACAGTCTAGCATATTAAATGTCTAAAGAAGAAAACCTATACTATCATATCTTCACTGATGTAAAAAGATGTTTGGCAAAATTCAATATCCACTCATGATAACAACATTCAGCAAAACAGCACAGATAGATAACATGCTTGAAACACAGCATCATTCTTAAGGTGAAAAATATGAAATCTTTCCCCGTAAGATCAGGAAAAATTCAAGAAAGTCCACATCACCACTCTTGGTCAGGATTATACTGTAATCCTAATCAGTGCAGTAAGGCAAGATAAAAGGAAGCAAAGGGCAAAAAGATATATCAAAACTTGTACATAGATATTTCAGTGATTCATTGGCAAGACAGACAGAACCAAAATAGAAGTAAGAGTAAGGAAAAAAATGAAGAGATTTTTAATGGATACTTGAATTTTTCTTCTTATCAGATGACAATTTTTTTTAGAAAACCCCAAGTAATCCAAGAAGTAAATATTTAAGTTCAGTAATATCTCAGAATATAAGGTTGGTGTGAAATCTAGCAATATTTCCAAATTCAAGCAATGCATAATTAGAGATGAAAGTTTTCAAGCATACCATTCACATTAGAAAATGGAAGAAAATTCTTAGATAAAGATGTTTAGTAGCTATATGCTGAAAACTATAAAACACTAATTACATAAATCAAAGGATGCTTAAATAAATAAGCATGCCTTGTTAATGGATTGGAAAACTAAACTTAATAGAGACAGGAATTCTCTCCCACAGTTGTGTACATACATAATGCAACACCAATAAAATGACCAGTAAATTTGTGGTAACTATAAGAGGGAAATTTTAAATGACTAGGAAAGTTAAAGCAACTAGACCAGCCAAAACAATTTAAGACTCTCTCTAAAAGTAGTGTTAAAGCAATAATGTATAAGATATCAAATCAGTGTACTTGGAACTATGAGAAAGGACTATACCT